CCCACTCACATCCTGGGCCATCTCACCTCAGGAAATCACATGATAGGGTGGGGCCAGGTTTCACAATGAGCTCACCTGAAACCCTGGCTGACTGTGACCCACACCCGTTTTCACACCTTGGCTCATGTGATTAGATAGAGGATCATCAGGGGGTCCTTTGTCCCTCTTTTTGGGGGAAACTCCCACTGGGTTTAAATCTGGGACTCTCCACTATTTGACCCTAAAACTGAAGAAGCTTCTCGGATGAGAGGTGAAACGTCTTCAAGCAACTTAAAGAAGTCAAGACGCTTTTCTTTGCAAGCTCCTTTGACTACGATGACCTGGATGACTGAGAACCTTCACAGACTCTTAACAGAGTGCTGGATTTTTGTCAGACCGACTACAGTGCTGAAGAGAAACCTAGGGCGGTTGTTCTTTTCTTCAATTAGTGATGAACCGTAAGATGTTCTAGCTTTACAGAGGGCTTTTTTTTATGGAGTAACAACTATAGCAATAATTTTGTAAGATGTGCATTTTAGAGTTACACCAGGGAGTGAAATACTTCTGATGTGTGTCTTTCTTTTCAGAGAAGCTGCAGTGTCAGAGTCGTATGCGGAAAAGATGTAAAGATAATAGTGGATGAATTATTCCCCCCCAATGTTATTGAATAATAACAATAGCATTAGTTTCTTTTTCGTGACCACTGACTCTGACTGTTTGAAATGAGCCCTTCAGCCTCTAGGGGCTGATAGTGGACTGTCAGACTTATTTATTTACTCATGATTCAACAGTTCCACAGTCCCACGGCATCTGAAGCATGCCAGTTTTCAAGCCCATGCCCCTCCCTCCCAGATGTAAATCACACTGCAATGGAAACTTGAAGCAAAGGAGGCCCTTTCCGATTCAATGTACCTATAAATCACCACCCTTATCCACACAGGCTAGATGATCCAGACTGACAGACAGGGCAAGGGGGAAGCAAAAGGATTTGCATTTACACAGCCTTATTTCACATTGTAGTAAATGAAATGTTATTTAAAAACAATATTCTCCTTCAGTGTATCTGCATTACCGTAGCACTTTTCTATTCACACTGTCCATTACTGGACAGTATCTCAAAATTTCATGGTAAAATGAAGACAGCCATAGTGGTAGGTGTAGTTGTAGAGTGAAATAATTTTTTTTAAAGAGGAGGGCTGAGAGAGGAGCTCAAGAAGATGTAGAGGGTGAAGACAACAATGTTTCTGTGGCACTCAGAGCAGTGACCCACAAACTGGGCAAGTGGCTCCAGCAGATCTCAGGAACGACATCCGGGATCTCTGTCCTATGAACAACAAAGATACTATGCTCTCAGCTCCCAGGCATCTGGTAGAGGACCTCAAGACTTTAAAGGACCAACAAAGACCGTTTGCAGGATGAGTGGGAAATATATATATACATATACAGGCATAAAATATCAGCACCTTTGAGTGGATGGGATAGATTAAGGAGCAAGTAAACAATTTGTCCTCAAAGTTGACGTGTTAGAAGCAGGAAAAATAGACGAGCTTAAGGATTTGAGCAATTTTGACAAGGCTACCTTGTGATGACTAGATGATTGTATCAGAGCATCTCCAGAACTACAGTGGTGGTATAATATCCATCAAAAGTAGTCCAAGGAAGGAAAAGTGGCAAACCAGTGATAAGATCATTGGTGGCCAAGGCTCACCAACACATTTAGCGAGCGAAGGCTAGTCCATGTGGTCCAGTTCAACAGATGAGCTATTGTAGTTCAAATTGCCGAACAAGTTAGTAGTTGTTCTGCCGTAAACCTTTCCAGACTTTTCTTTCATCTTCTGTTAAGTCTACCAGTGATCCATGACAGAAAACAAACAAAAACTATTGCAAGGCCTCCCCTCAGTTGAATGGATTCATTCAGTTAAATTCAACTTTATTTCTATAGCACTAAAACACAACAACAATTGCCTCAAAGCCCCTTATATTGTAAGTTAACATTTACTCATGTTTATTGACTCATGTTCTGCATCTATAAGCATTAATGTTGTGTGCTGAGTGGATTCATCTTCAGTTGTAGTTTTACAAGACTCTCAGTGACACTGTTGGTTTCTAAAATCTGGTGAACGGCATTCACTAACTGCTAACTAGAAAGAAGTGTATGAGTCACTGACATAATTCATTGGATTTTAGATAACTTATAATGTACACAGGGATCTGAGATCATAAAAAGCAATATCAAACAGTAAATTCAGACTGTTATCAAGTAAACAGTATGATATCGTTACCAAGGCATTAAACCATAAATAAGAGTGACAGTTTCCTTGACTACCCTATAGCATACTCAAATCACTTATGTGTCATTAGCCCACTGGATGCTACTTTGCTCCTCTCTGTTATGCCTCTGATCTGACATCTTATTACTGTGGAGAGTTGACACAGCATGCACAGTAACATTCAGCACATAACAGCCACATAGCAGAGATAGCACTGCAGTCTGACTAGCACTGGAGGCACTAGATATTTTCAAGCAACCTTTCCATGACTACAGAAGCAAAAGTTGCTTTTCATAACTGGCATTCTTTGCATTTTGACACTCACAGCTGCAGTTAGTATGACTACTTCTTTCAGTATAAGTGATTGTAACGGTAAAGATTAGATTTAAATTATTTATTTATTGAGTACCCAATCACAGCAGAAGTCATATCTATGCACTGGTGGTCTGGTTCAAATGTTTATAAGTAAGGAAACTGAGATTTGTCTGTGGAAAAAAAGTATTTTATGCATAAATGGATGTGTAATGAATTCCAAGCTATAGGATACACCACTATTAAATGTGTCAACTGCAACTGAATGCTCTTGCAAGTAATGCCAAGTCAGAATTCTGCTTGGTCTTGATGTGTACAAGCATACAGGCACTCATGCCAACCTTACACAGCCTGCCAAGTCAACTCCACCCCGCCCCCACCCCCTGTCCGTGTTCTCATCAGGAGAGTAAGCATAGACATGCAATCTGTATGTTTGCATATGCATGAGAAAGTTTCATTTAATCCTAGATTCATTTTACTGCATTTTAAAGAGCCCCAGAGAATCACCAGAAGGACACAAGAAAGGACACAAGAACATCCAATAAATGGTATGGACCCCCCAAGTTTTGATTTCAACCTCAGAGGAGTAACAGAAGACTTTCTCTTTACTGCAGTTTGCATGAAGTCCATTGATAAATAAAAGCTATTCCTCATACCTTTACTGTCTATGGCTTTTTTTAAAAGGTATTCTTAATTTCAAATGAAAATACATGTGACTGATACACATGTACACAAACACACTTAGTCTTACCTACCTGTGCAGAAGCCTGTATAGCTGCCATGCAGATCTCTCAGAGTACCATTCCAAGTAAAGTGATTCTGGCCATAAACAGACATTGTAACTGCTTCCACTGATTTCTGTTAACAGCTGCCCTGTTTGTCTGGTTATTTATTTGTCAGTCTAATCCACATACGCTGGGATCTAAATGAAAAGATGGGAAATAAAAAGAGATTTTTTCCCTTCCTTTCTTGTTTTCTCCTCTGACTTGGTGTTAGTGTGAAGGAAACTTAGTGTAGTGTGCACTACTGGAGGTAGAGGGTGTGGAGTCAGTAGCACTCATAAGCGCCTGATTGGGTGCCCTTGTGCCCTTCTGTCTTTTGACTGCTGTTGGTTAGTAGCCTAAATGTGAAACAACACACCAGTATGTGCAAGAGGACAGGTGGGGTGAATATATATATATA